ACAGCCAGTAGGTAAGAGGGCCCCAAATCTGAGGCCCACCCACCTCAACCCTCAGCTCTCTCTTCTCTGCCACGCTGTCGTGTGCTGACCGGAATGGCCTCGGAAGCCAGACAGCCTGGATTTAGATCTCCTCCATGCATTATTGGCCGTGGGACCTTGGGAACGTTTTTACTCCCTCTGAGCCTCTCAGTCAAAGGAAGACAGTTGGTTTGTCGTGAGGATGAAGGGAAATGGAATGTCCGGGTGCTGGGACAGAGGGCCGCACATTATGAGGCAGTGTCCCCGCCTCCCAGACCACTGAACACTGCAGCAGCAGGTCTTATGGGCCATCTTTTTTTTGAGGAACAAACTGTGAAGAAGGGTTAAGAATTTAATCCAAGATCTCACAGCATTTGAACTCCAATCTTTCTGATTCTAAAGACAGTTTTTCCTCTACGCTGGGCTCCTTTCCTATGCTAAGCCTAGGACGTGTCTAATAGCATTAAGCCTTTAACCACTGCTTGGGAATTGCAGTGGCAAATATCTCAGAGAACTGAGGAGCAGCCATTTCCCCTACTGAACTGACGGCTAAGTAGGAAGTTCTTCATCCTGTCGTCCTCAGATCTGGAATGGAAGGGTGCTTCCCTCTCTCATGTGGCAGTCCGTTAATAGTTCGAGGGCCATGTGTGTCCCTTGAGTCATGTGTGGTTAAGGAGTGCTGTCCCATCTCCTCTTAGTACTGAAGATTCTTCTCTGGTCACACTTGGTAAAATGTTGACGGAAACCTGCCTGAAGTCTGCCACACAAAGGTTGACGGGGCAGCGAGGTTGGTCAGACATCTAGAGAAGCAATGGCGGCTGCTACTTGACACAGGAAGAGTTTGGAGCGTGGTGGTACGGGGCACGTGAAGTCCACAAGGCTTGGGCCTTGGCCTTCATTCTTCCATGGTTGGTCTTCCTTGTAGAGTCTTCCATGAGGACAAGTCCTCGTCTCATCAGTTGTTGCTGCCTAAGACAGTAACTCGAACTCACTAGTCTCAGTCGTTTTTGTTTTGTGTTGTTGTTATTGTTGTAATAGGTTTTTGAGACAGGGTCTCACTACTGTATGTAGTTCAGCAGGCTGGACTTGAACTTACTGTGTAGCACAGACTGGCCTCGAACTTGTACAGATTCTTCTGCCTCGCCTTCCCAAGTGCTGAAATTGTAGGTGTATACCACCATGCCTAGCTCAAAGCTAATTTTATGTTATACAAAAGATTTATAATCTTGTTTAAAAAAATTTCGTTTTCTTAGCCTTGTGAGGAATTTTGTGCTTTAGTTTAATCTCACCAAGGTGAAAATTGATGAGAAAGTAATGTCTTACCTCTCAAAATGGATCAGTTTCATGTAGTCATGTGGCTTTAAAGTTGCTTAATCAGTTAATTAGGTTTTTTTTTGTTTGTTTGTTTGTTTGTTTGTTTTGTTTTGGTTTTTCTCCGGTACTGGGAACTGAACTCACGACCTTGCGCTTGCCAGGCAGGCACTTTTGCTGCTGAGCTAAATCCCCAGCCCCAGTTAATTAGTTTTTTGTGATACTGGAAATCAAACCCAGAGTCTCACACATACTAGGCAAGTACTCTACCATTGAGCTACACTCCAGCCCTGAAAGTGTTTGTTTCTGTTTTTGAGATTGGAATATAACACATGAGGTAAGAATAATCATTAGTTAAGCATTTAGTAAGTGATCTTGGAAGGTAGGCGCTGGTCTAAGCTTTAACATCATAGCAGCCCTGTGGGGCGGGCTGCGCATATTATTCACACTTTACAGAATAGCAGAGGTGAGGTCATTCTTCTTGACTTGGGCCAGGAAGGATCTTCTCTGCAGAGGTGACATTTGTAAGAGCTGGGTAGTGAGGGAAGAATGGGCTCTGGAAAGCCCTGAGGAGGTGTCCGAGCAGAGGGAGCCATGGTGCTGATGCCAGCTGTGAGAGGGACTGCAAAGACCCAGGGGTGCCTTCAGCAGGGACCTGCCTGCCCCAGTCTGTGGTCAAGGGGACAGGAAGCAGGGCCACGAGGTTGCCTCTGGCTGCTGTGTGCAATGACTTGTGACCCAAGAGTGATCTTGGAATAGTCGTAGAGGAAGTGTTGTATTTTAAATAATAACTTTCTGAGACTGGCTGAGTGATTTTTTTTGAAGTTGATGCTGTTATTCAGGCAGTTCTCTCTTTTTTTTTTGGTTTTTCTCCGGTACCAGGAACCGAACTCACGACCTTGCGCTTGCCAGGCAGGCGCTTTGCCGCTGAGCTAAATCCCCAGCCCTCAGGCAGTTCTCTCTATTTGGAGTCATTTGAAGGCAGAAAATGAGACTGAGAGGCATTTTAGGTGGAACGTAGTGTTTCTTCCTCTGGTGACTCAAGCTCGGTCTTCACAGTACTTAGGAACAACACCAGTGATGAAGAATGAATTTCAGTTTTGTTGCATTTAAAACAGAGGAAGCCCAGCATGGTGGTGCAGACCTGTAATCCCTGCCCTCAGAGGGCTGAGGCAGGAGGATCGCTGCAAGTTTGAGGGCAGCTTGAGCTATATAGTGAAACCCTGCCTCAAAAAAAATCAAACAAAAACAATCAAATCCATCAATAAATAGATGAAATAGAACTATGTAACATTTACCCTGATATACTGTACATACTTTCAGCTTTCAGTATTACATAAGCCTTTTGAATTTTATTTATAAATTTGGCCACACACAAGCATTATTTTGTTTTATCTACTTAAAATATGCTGGGAGTAATTTAAGTGGAAGGGAAAGCTCATAACTATATATTTTCTATGCAGTTTGTGATATTTTCTTATAATTTCAGTTTGATTTTCATGTCATTACAGGTAATGAATAATTTGTACATTCTATTATTAGTAGTTCTATAAAGTTCCAGGAATGATTCTTGCTATGTTTAAGTTCAGATCTCTTGGAAATTAAGTGTTCAACCTGTACTCTTCAAATATAAAGTGATAAAACTTTGTGAAACAAAGAAATGCAACCATCTTCATCAGCTTTTATGTTTATTTATTTTTATTTTTATTTTCCTGTACCGGGAATCGAACTCATAACCTTACCCTTGGCAGGCAGGTGCTGTGCTGCTGAGCTAAATTCCCAGCCCCAGCTTTTATGTTTAAAAGGGTTTTTGTGTAGAAGGAACCTTCACGAGTATTCAGAATGGTTGATGAATAGAATATTTGGGAGAAAACTGATTTTTGGGGGGATAGTGGAGGTTATTAGCCAAAGGATTCTTGCCTGTTCAGTTTACAAAGAACTAAAAATTAAACCAGGCATGGTGGCACGTGTCCGTAATCCCAGCACTCTGGGAGGTGGAGGTAGGAGGATGGCAAGTTTGAGCCCAGCCTGGGTACACTAGTGACTTAGCAAGACCCTCCTCAAAGCAGAGGGGGCTGGGAACGTAGCTCGGTGCGAAGGCCCCTGGCTTCAGTCTCCAGTACCAAAAGATCGTGAATGATGTCAGCGACCGCATTTTCACACTAGGTTTAGGGTGTGTGAGGTGTCTGACGATTTGGGGCTGCACACTCCCGGCTCCTCACACCAGGCTGGGTCCCTGTTGTTCTTCTCCAGGAGGCTCTCGGAAAGGCTTTGTTCGATAGTAAAGTTTCTCAGACATGCTATCTGCCGTGTAAAAACAAGTCTCAGAAAGTAATTGAACTTCTCTAGATTTGTTTAGAAGCTATTTCTAGGATTTGGATAATGGACTAAACTCATCTTTTAAAAAAATCCCATTTTAAAATTTTCTTTTTATGGATTACTGAATAAAATTGGTTAAATGTTGTGAGTCTTCGCCGTCTAGGTGGACAGAGAAGTGAACCGGAGGCCCTTTCTAGCCGGAGTGTTTCGTTTCCATACGAGTTAACAGTGCAGTTTCTTATCAGCCGGGTCCCTCATGGTGTATGAGTCAGGCTACTGCAACTCCTATAACAGCACAGTGAACTCTAGAAACCAAAGTTTTTATAGCCGATGACTTCAGTGGGACTTGTCTAGACAGCAGTTACCTTCTAAAGTCATGGCGTGTGAGGGCTGGAAGAGATGGAAGATAGATACCGCAACTGGGATGGCCTATCTGCTCTGTGTGCCGTTGTAGCCATGGTTCCGAGGTCTGAGGGAGGTCGGGACCAATGACTTCAGCACGGAAAGCGGAAACGTGATAGGCATAGGTCTGGACAAGGGCGCACCTCGGTGCTGGGCGCGAGTATAAACACGCACAAGTATTTTTCTCTGGAAACAGCAGCAAATTTGAAAGGCATCTGATGCCTGGTCATAGTTGTCAAAATGGGTGAGGCTCCTAGAGGTGACACCCAGAGAAAGTGATTACAGTCAACAAATTCATAACCTTTTGAATTGACCCTCTTTGGCAAAGACATGCTGGCTTTAAAAATAATGTTTGCATTATATTTATTTGCTAATAAAATCCGTATGCTATCATTTAACTAGTCAGTAGTATAGCACATAGAAAACTAGATTGACTTAAAAAAACTTTTTAATGGTTTTGCTCTCCTGGTTATTAACAGAAACTGCCTGGGGTAGATTAATGTAGACCCTGAGTTCTATAATCCACTGCTTCACTGGCCTGTCGGTGACAGAGGCCAGAATGTACTTGCTCACCTAGAGGGATCTGATTGACTAAGTTAGATTGGGTCTGAGAACCTGTGACAGACATGGGCTTGTCTCTGAGAACGTGGCTGAGGCCTTTCTGTGATCCGAGCGCTTAGGCAGTTGTGTGGGTGCGGGGCAGGTTTGAAGTGAGTACCCCCAGGCCAGATGTTAGCTGAGCTTCCCATTAGCTGTAGGAAAGTGACATATGGCTAAGACTTTCTTCAGAAGGAGAACACTAATGATTTCCCGATGCTTTTGACTTACTGGAAATAAGTACAAAGTATCTAGTGTATGGGGAGCAGTTTTCAGTTTCTGGTGACATAAACTCCACTCCCATCCTGTGACAGTGACTAACTCTTCCCGCTCTCTCATTGTCTTCCTCCTAGGAAGCCGCCCTCTGCAGGCAGCTCCCCATGGAAGCCGAGACAATGGCCACCGTTCAGGCTGCTGTCAACCCGCCTGCCATGACTGCAGACATGAGATCCATCACCAACAATAGCTCAGATCCTTTCCTCAATGGGTACGTGGACATTTGGGGCCGTTTGTTGCTGTGGTCTTTATGGTCTGGCCTAGGCTATAGGGGCCTTTGTTTACATTGGGAAAGGTGAGAAGCTGGAAGGCTGAGGATGTGGGCAGAGGCAGGAAGTGGGGGAACTGTCACAAGAGAGGAGAGCAGAGGGAGTCATCTACTTTTTATAAAATCCTCAGATTCAAAAATCAGTGATAAGACACAGAGTAAACCCCAGTGAAGAATTTGAACATGGGCTGAACTTCTAATTTAAACAGGATGGCACTGTCTGGTAATTACACTTGGAAGAATCTTGTGGTTGTATTTAACCCACAGAAGGATAAAAGCATGTCCATTGCAAATTGAGAACAAAACAATTAAGAGATGATGTTCCTAGTGAATGTGAATAAGATCTACGGTTTAGGTAATGTATGCCAGGGTCAGTTTCCTGGGTTTAGTAATTGTATGGGGCTTAGGGCAGTAGGGTGGTCCTTACTGCAGAGGCTACTGGGCAGAGGACACAGAGGGACTCGCTATACCCTTTCTTAATCTTCTGTGCAAGTCTAAAATTATTTCAAAATTTAAAAATTAATATGAGAGCAAAGAGATGATGTTTTTGAAAAGACAAAACACAGGAGCAGAAGGAAAAACTAATTGAACCACAGGTCTGCATGAGGAGAGGTAATCAACCCTAAATATGGCCTTTTCAATCCCAGCAGCGTGGAATATTCTATTTCCTGTGTTTTTCTGCCCTGGAAGAGGCTTCTGAAGACCCAACAAGTACAATTAAAGCCAGAGTGGTGAAAATAAATAGTAACCAGAATAATGATAACATAGGTTTTTTTTTTAGTTGTTGATTTTATTTATTTTTTGTCTTTTTGAGCCAGGGTTTCACTGTGCAGTCCAGGCTGGCCTTGAGCTCACTTTGTAGCCCAGGCTGGCCTCAAATTCAAAACAATCCTGTCCCACCCTCCTGAGTGCTGGGATTGTAGGTGTGCGCCACCACGCCTAGCAGTTGATTTTAAAGTACAGGAAAATATGAAGAATAATGTAAGAGTTGCTCATGCACCCACTCCCCAGGTTTGCTTTATTCCTACCTGGTCTTTCTTTTTGAGACAGGATCTCACTATGTAGTGCAGGCTGGCCTTGAACTTGCTTATGTGTCCAGCCTGACTTCAAACTCATAGTGAACCTCCTGCTTCAGCCTCCCGAGTGCCAGAATTACAGGCATGCAGAACGCACCCAGCACTTTCTTAGTAAATAAAATGTTACAGTTAATATATAAACCCATTCCACCACCACCACTAAAGCCGTGTTTCTGTTTCTTCTTCCCTCCCCGTGGGAGCCACTGTACAGGAACTGCTGTGTGTCTCTTAGGCGTGTATTTCTTACTGCCGTAAGCCGTATTCAGCTTAGTTTTTTTTTTTTAATGTCATATACATCGCATCACACTCAGATGTACAACTGTGTCCATGCAGCTATTTGGAAATGCAAGGAATCAGTAACAGCGTACTGTGAATAGTCAGTATTATTTGCTTGCACTGTGTTAGTTTCATTAATATTAGGATGTAGTTTTCAAAACTGAAGGGCAGAACAGAGTCTTCTCGCCTTTGCTCCCTGAGAGTGGAGCAGGACAGGCTCAGGCTGTCCCGAGCTGCTGTGACTGTTTTCACTTTGGCCTTTACTCAGTGGCCTCTCACAGATGTCTCCATCTTCTGCTCTTCAGAGGGCCCTACCACTCGCGGGAGCAGAGCACAGACAGTGGCCTGGGCTTGGGGTGCTACAGCGTCCCCACGACTCCGGAGGACTTCCTCAGCAACGTGGACGAGATGGATACAGGTAGGAGCACAGCCTGCGAATACGTGCATGTGTTTTTAGTTTTGTCTTTTAGGTCATCTCAGTTCTAACATGCAGCGGGAACCCTGGATCTCAACAACACAAAATGACGACTGCAAAGCCACCCAGCCCAGAGGCATGCGAGATAAACTCTAGCCCGCTTTCCACAGGTTATGTGTAGTTTGACATAAAGGCACAGGATTTTAACTTCTGTTTTTTTAAAAAATTCATCCTTCCTTCATTTGACCTCTTCCTTGCAGTTGCACTAGGAGAACCCTGTCTGCTCTGCCTGTCACAGTGGGGTCTTTGTGCTGCCATGTATGGGCCACTTTTTCTCCAGGAAAAGGGTTCTCTGTACAACCTCCCCAACAGACAAGATTTTCACGTCACTCGCTGCACTTGGGAAGCAATTGGCAATGAGCATTTAGAAGGTTAAGCAAGTGGGGGATTCTAAGTGGTCAGCTCAAAGTCCCTGCACGGTAGCGATGCCCTCCCTCTGCGGCTGCAAGGGAGAGGGCCGGGGACTTCTGCTGTCCAGCCTGTGCTTCCTGCAGGCCGAGGCTCGGCAGACTTCCTGATTGTGTCCCATGTTCTTCTGCCTTCAGGAGGGAGGCATCCAATTGCAAAGTCTGGCTTTATCCTTATTAGCTTCACCTAGACTTAACTATGAAAGTCAGGAACTCTCGAAAGGTATTTAAGCATCAGAATAGCTGAGGTGTCCACTCTTGAGAGCTATTCATGCGAGTTTCTTCTGTATCATCTGTGATGATAGAAAATTCATTGTCCTCTGATGAAAATAAAAAATTACTTTTCCAGTGTTATTGTACCTCGAGGCTGTAGTTGGTTACGCTATCTGCCCAGGGGGCGCTCTGAGACTAAGTTGTGAGACCAGGAGTGACACTGTAGTGGTCTATGTAGAATCTCAGAACACTGGGGCAGCTTTTCCAGGGTCTTCATCCACATGTGTAGAGCATGGTGTAGTCTGTCTCAGGAGGAGCCACACAAGAATAGTTTTAACTGTTTGTTTTGCTGTTCCTCAATTTATTGCTGCAGTTTTCTCCCTCTCCCGCCCTCTTTCATCTCTTTTTTTTTTGTCTTTTTGAGACTTAGGGTCTCACTATGCAGTTCAGGCTGACCTTGAGCTCACTTTGTAGCCCAGGCTGGCCTCAAACTCGGAACGATCCTCCTGCCTCAGCCTCCCGAGGACTGGAATTACAGGCGTGCGCCACCACACCCAGCTTCTCTTTATTATTTGGTGTGAGATTTATTTTGTTCCCTTGGAACAGCCTTATGAAATGGCTTCTTTCTATACTTAGTAGCTATTTAGTTTTTTAAAACACTGGGAAGTCAGTAAGGATTAAAAACAAAAAAGCAAAGTTAAATAAGAAAAAGGAACCTCAAGAGATCAAAAAAAAAAAAAAGGATGGATTCTCTTTTATGTCTTTTTGAAATGACCTCGGACAGGTAAATGGGAGCATTTTGAAACTGAAATGTGGAATTAAATGGTGTTCGGAAAAGAGCATTCTCTATGCAGCAGGTGGCATGGTTGAACTCTTTCTTCACTTCCTGGTAGTGATTTTGGCAAAGTTGTGTGACTTCCCTGGGCCCAGATTTTCACCTATAAAGTGAGAATAATATCCTTACTTCACAGAGAACTGTGAGTGCCAAGAGAGCACAGGGTGGCACAGGGCTCTCTGCCACCCCTGGGAAGGCTGATGTAACTAACGTACAAAACGGATGAGCGGCTGGGGATTTAGCTCAGCGGCACAGCGCCTGCCTGGCAAGCGGAAGGTCGTGAGTTCGATTCCCAATACCGAAAAAAAAAAAAAAAACCCGGACTCGAGAAATGTTCGGGCTCCAGGTTGACCTGGCTAAGTGAGCAACGACTCATTCAGTTCAGGGTTGAGGGTTATCCCCTTTTCAGGAAGTGGGCATAAATCCTTCCGGCGAAAGAAATGTAATCATCCACTAGTAACCCAAGGAGGAGCTGGGAGTGGGTAGAACTCAGGTGTAGCCAGAAAAGATGTGTTAGGTCTGCGGGACCCTGGGAGCCAGCCAGCTGAGCGCGCCCTCTGCAGTCCCACTCAGAAATAACCGCGGGGCTTCGTGCAAAATGAAGCACAGGGACTGGTAGGAGCAAGGGCTGGGCAGCCATCTATCCTTCCAGAATATTCTGCAACAATCACAATCCTGCAAGAATTGCTGGTTTGTTTGTTTTTTTTTGTCTCATCCATTTGTTTGTTCATTTGTTTAAGATAGGGTCTTGCTTATGTAGTTCAGACTGGCATTGGACTCAAGGACAGCCAGGCAGTCCTTGAATTTGCAGCAGTCCTCCTGCCTCAGCCTCCCGCGTGCTGGGATTATAAGCGTGGGCCACTATGCCAGGCCTCATCCCTTTTTTAAGTGGATAAAACTACAAAGGCCTAAAAGATCACTATAAGATTGCAGAGTTACTACAAAGAGATATTTTAAGATTTTCAACCTTAGTGAAGAAGCCTAACTCATCTCATACATTCTGTATTTGAGGAGAAAGGATTAGAGGCGTTCTTTAAGGTAACAATTTTGTGTAGCTAAAGTAGGTATTTTTGAGTAGTAAAAGTTATAATGATAATTTCAATGAGAGATGAAAAAAAATCCAGGCCCTTACAATTTTTTAGGACAAATAAATTTTAAAGCCTCATTTTTATGTGTTGCAGTCCATGAGTAGAAAAAAGTTATTTTGTATTTTATTTCTTATTTTAGTGTTTTTCATTATCTATATTGAGGTCGTGTTACTGAATTTGAGTTCTTTCTTATTTTTTTTTCGTCTTTTTGAGACAGGATCTCGCTATGCAGTTCAGGCTGGCCCTGAGTTCACTTTGCAGCCCAGGCTGGTTCTCGAACTTGTAGCAATCCTCTTGCCTGAGTCTCCCAAGTGCTGGAATTATAGATGTGTACCACTACACCTTGCAAGCCTGCTGTTTAAACAGGCTTAAAGCTGTCAATGGAAATACCATGGTTAAAAGAAACTTCACACTACTGTCTATGCCTATAAAAATGATGTGGGTAAAGGGAAGCTTACAGTTAAACTCACAGAGTAGAGTTCTGCAAGAAGAGTTTAATACAGGTGAGTTGTCTCTCCTGTCAGAAGAGCTCTACAAGCCTCCATAACGTGAAAGTACAGACGTGTTGTCTGATCTTCGGCGCCTTTTGCGTGCTCCTTTCTTATTCTCTGTACTTTTACATTCTGGGCCACGTCTACCACAAACTAGTTCAGATTCCTCCAGCATCTCAGCACCTCTTACAAGCGAGGGTCATTAATGTGAGGTCTGAAAATGTGAAGATGTTATAGTAACATTTGAACTGTCCCTCCGTGAAGGACTTACAAGAAGGAGTTAAAATGGTTTTCTCTCATTCTGCTCCAGGGGAAAATGCAGGTCAGACGCCTGTAAACATTAACCACCAGCAGACCCGCTTTCCTGATTTCCTTGACTGTCTTCCGGGAACAAACGTTGACCTAGGAACTTTGGAATCTGAAGATCTGATCCCCCTCTTCAGTGATGTGGAGTCTGCTCTGAACAAAAGCGAGCCCTTTCAAACCTGGCTGTAGTTGCTGCCGCCATTGTAAGTGGGAAGCAGCCATGACCTGACATTTCCTGGGCCTCTGGGGAAGGTGGTGGAGCCGAGGAGGTCTGCAGGCAACCACTTCCTGCCTCACGACTCTCACTCCCTCCTTTCCACGTGGCCAGTTTAGTCATTGCCTGGTTTTGATTGACAGGAACTTCAGTTACACATACATATTCTGTTTTCATTTTCTGTAAGCCTGCATTCCTGTGATACATGATGCAGAGGTGTGCCTGCAGAATTGTGTCTGCAGAATTTTCTCTTTGTGCTGCCCCATGGCTACTATGCTTTATGGGTGTTAGCTGACATTTATGCATCAATTTATTGTAAACCACAAAAAGCTGACCACAGGTAGTAAATTCGGACGGGCATCTTGGTCCAGGAAACATGCACAAAATTAGACCTGATTTACAGTTTCAAAAACTGTATTAATGACAGTAGCACCAAATACTTTAAAATCTATTTAACTTGAGCTTTAAAAATCATTGTATGGATAGTAAAATTCTGCTGTGTGGAATACAGTGTATTTTGAATCCATGCTCGCTCTGATGGCTCTTACTACTCTGTATTTGCAAAGGCACAAACAGTCCTAGTATAGTTTATTTTTCATTGTTTTATTGCATAGACAGCTTAGTCTTCCTGGCAGGAAAGTAGCAGCAGCATTAGAGTTCTTACCTAGAGAGCTTTTGAAAGAGACCAGTTTGTACTAATAATGAACATTTATTAACCAAAAATTTGTTTTAATTGCAACATGGATTTGTTAACAGTGCAACTTAGAATTTGATGTTCGTTTAGGAAACACTAATTTTATAGCTGATGACAAAAGACAGCCATATGTTTTTGATAAATCAGTGGCAACTGTTTTTTTGTCTTTTGAAACTATCCTGAAGATATTGGGGTTTCAACCTGATGGCACATGCAATAAGCTGTTGCTTTTCAAATTCTGAAGCCTTGTCAGTTTTGCTTTCAAGATTTCAAGTGTTTAAAATAAGCCTATCTATGAAACTGTTTGAAGGATGAAGCAGATCTCTAACTGACATATAACAAAAATGCCCTCTGAGGGCAGATGGTGGAGACATGTTTCTGAATGCAGTAAAATTGATTCCTACGTATATTATCCTATATCCTATCCTTGATATAAAAAAGCCTGAGCTATGTATTCAGTACCTCTTATGTAACCAAAAACTTCATTAGCTTTTAAGGACTGAGAGAGCATCATGTGCACCTGGCATGCAGTCTACCTGCATTGCCAATGAAGTCCTCAACTGTTTAATATTTTGAATGACATTATTTATAATCTATGAATTTAACCTTTTTAAAAAAATCATTAATAATTCAGGTCTCTGAGAGGAACCTTTCAATCCCCATGGGGGCTTATTTGTTGGTGATCTTAGATAAGATAAGACCCGCCTCTGTCTGCCAGAATAGAGATGCGCAGACACCTGGTCTTGTTCTAGAGGAAGCAAGTGCAGAGGCAGAGGTGCAGCCGCGAAGTTCGGGATGTAGCGGAGGGATGCTAGTTGGGAGATGGAGATGGGCGAGGGATAGAACGCCAGCAGCAAGACACGCGGGGAGGTGAGCGGTGCCATGAAAGAACAAAGCAACGATTTCTAGTACAATCTTCACACCACATGATTCTGTTGTAGAAGAATAGAGGGCTTTGGCGCACTTTACTGGGAGAAGAGTGAAGGGCCGGGCTGTGGGTCCGGGCCTCGCCGACCTGAACAGGCCGCGGCCAGGGCAGAGACCTGCGCCCGCCCCCGCACTCGCGAGTGGCTCTCTCTCCCACCGACCTGCCTTGTGTCCCACTAACCCCTTCCCCTCTCAAGCACGCTGAGAGCGTGGAGGTCGATGTTTATGTTGCTACTAAATTGCAAGGGAGCACTCTTTTTCTTTTTTGTAAGCAAAAATTACAAACAGAGTTGTACATTCTAAGAGAAAAAAAATAAGGGACCTAACAAAACTCAGCAGTGTTACTGTATTTTTAAAAAATATTTTTATAGATGCATTTTCAGGTTATTAAATGTAAGAGAAAGAGATAACCCTTCTTTTTTTTAGTAGCTAAATCATTGATGATTTATATTACCAAGTTTTAGAAGTAATTTTCTAGTAAGCTCATGGCATTAGAAAATTCTAGAATAATTTTTTAGTGAAATTAGAACATTTATTAATGGATATAATAAATATTTTTCCAGAATAAAATATGGACCCTATTTGTTTACTAATAGATAAAGGGAGATACAATGTTTTGTTGTTTTTAAAGCCATAAAATGTGGCTTTTGTTAAGGAACATTCAAGCCTGAACTCTCAAGTACAGCTTTTGTTTTGTTTTGGTTTGGTTTTTTCAGTGCTGGGGCTTGAACAACCTAGGATGCACGCTAGGCCAGCATTCTCCCGCTGAGCTAAGGCCCGGCCCTTAAAAGCAACTTTTAAATGACTGTTTCCTATTACTGTTACACCCCTCAGAATTCATGATAAGGTGCTATTTATACTCTATATCTTACTGCAAGACAACTGCCAGGACACCTAGTCTTTGTAGTCCTGAATCAATCAATCAGTTTTACCATCTCAGCCCACAGTTCTGCTATGCGAAAGGCGTATTTTGAAAAGTGAAATTGAAAAGTAATTTCAGAGATCTTTTACTCAAGATGTTTCTTCCTGATGAAATACATTGTCTTGTTAGCAAATAAAGTGTCGGAACCTATTTGTTTGTAATTCTGTTACATTGAAGGAGCGAAGGAGTGGACCTAGGGCGTGAAATGCCGAAGGAGTGGACCTGGGGTGTGAAATGCCGTTTCTTTCACCGGTGACACAATGCATGCGAGTGCGAGGACAGCAGAGCAGGTGCTGCGGGCCGCTGGCCGCACCTGGGGGAGCAGCTGTGCGGGGCCGGGGCTGGAGGGGGAGGGTCGCTCAGGAGCAGCTGTGCTCTGTTCGCATAAGCAGAAAGTAACTTCTGAAAGTACAACTTGCATTTTAAAGAAAGGCTGTTTAAAAAGAAATTGCAGGTTCATTGAATCGGGAAAATGGGCGATTGACAGAGACCATTTCCCTAACACTACATCGTTTCTCGTGCTAGTACTTTAACTTTTTAAAGAATTTACTTCTATATTTTGTAATATGACATATGCGTGTTTATTTCTAATTTCGAATGTTGTGCATACAGAAAGTATGCGATCCAATCAGTCACATCAAACCATTTTACCTAGAGTTTGGTACTGGTTTTTACTTCTCTGATTCTATATAAGGAAAATAAATACAATTGAATTTCCACTGGGAGCCTCCGTCTTTTCATTATTTGTGTATGTTCTTCTCGCTGAGGGTTTGGGTGGAACTAGAGAGAGGCTTATGTAACCTCCTGGCAGACAATGAAAGGAAGAAAATCTTGTAGGCAAACATCTTTTTGGCTCCTACGCCTGGCCTTCAACATTCTGAATGTCTGCAGAATTCTAGTTTCTGCTTTATTTGAAGTAGCCAACTGAGATTTTTAAAGATGTGTGTGTTTTTTTTAAACACACCACCCTACCAACACCCTGACAGATACGACGAGACATCACAACGGGACTCTTACTCTTGCCTCTGTTATTAATAGTGTGATGTGACCTTTTTTGTTTTCAAAACTAAAACCAGAAGAACAGGTTGTCCTTCGTTCTGAGTTGGGGCTTGTGACTGTATTTCCTGCTCAGTCCGTTGGTTCTCTGACCTGATACCTGCGACCACGAGCCATGCCGGGTGTGGTGGCACATGTCTGTAATCCCAGCGCTCTGGGAGGCCGAGGCAGGAGGATCATAAATGCAAGCCCAACCTGGCTAATTGGGTGAGACATTTCAAAATAAAAGAACTGGAGATGGAGCTCGGACAGAAGGCCTTCCGTTCCATCCCCAGTATTCTCACCATGACAAAACCGAACCAAAGAGAGGAGGGGTGGGGAGGTGGGAAGGAGGGGGGAGGAAGAGCCAAGGTGAACCTCTTTTCTTCAAATTGCAGGCGTTGGGTATTTTGTCCCAGTGACAAAGAAGGTGACTAAGACGTTAAGACATCGCACTCTGGAACTGACAGTGAAACGGAGTTATTTTTTCGTAATACAGTAGCTTTAGCAGGTGCTACCAGTTTCCAGCGGGGGTATCTCAGATTTCTCCTTACCATTTCTTTCCTCCTAACCATTTTTGTTGTTGTTTTTGTTTCTGTTTTTGTTTTATGAGACAGGTTGTCACTATGTAGTCCAGGCTTGCCTTAAACTCACAATGTATCCTGTTGACTCAAACTTGTGGCAATCCTCCTGCCTCAGCCTCCTGAGTCCTGGGATTACAGGCGTGTGCCACCACACCCAGCTTTCCTCTCACCATTTTTGTGCCTCCCGCTCACTGATCCCAGAGTGTTTTTACTTCCAGGATTTAAATGCTCTTAACAATATGGCCAGGGCGTGTTCACCCCTCATGCACAGAGAGCAAGGAATGCAGGGAGTGCAGCCCTTGGTCCGTAACAAGTGGGCATGTAACGTCCTCCCCCCCAGGAGCTCCCTGGGGGTCGGTAGCACCACCTCTTGTGATCCTCTGGGAGCACACTTTTGCCCGGTCTCCTCCCTTTTCTGGTCTCTCTTATATTTCTCTTATAAGTACACACTGCCACAATAGATCCTTTCTAAATTCCTTAAAAAATAAATAAATCACTTGTGATCCTGATGCAAGGGCTTACTTCTAGGACCTAAAATAACTCAGAATGTATGACAAACTCTTACAAATCAGTAGGAAAAACAGCTCGACAGAAAAACAAGCCAACACTTGGTATCTTCGCAAAAGAATTAAAAGCATCGTACCACAGTGACATATGTGCACCTATGTCTGTAGCAGCACAGTTTGTAATAGCTAAATCTTGGAAACAACCCAAATGCTCAGCAACCAATGAATGGATAAAGAAGATGTGGGTTTTTTTTTTCTACAATGGAGTACTACTCAGCTGTAAAAAAGGATAAGCTTGGAGACATTTCTAGGTAAATGGATGCACCTTGAGATCATAATCTAAAGTGAAATAAATCAGACACATATTTAAATACTGCATTCTGTGGTGTGAGAAATGAAAAGTGTAAATAGGACCAGAATTTGTCATTGATACTAGGAAATGGGAAGAAAATGTTCAAATGAGAAGGGCAACAAGGGAAGAGGAAGGGGAAAGGAAGAAAGGGACAGGAAAAACAATAGGAAAAATGGGATCAAAGCCTTTGTAAATAAGGAGAGTAAAAAGGTTGGAAGGAAGAGGAGGGGAATGGGGAAAAAGGTATCATCATACAAGTACAAATCCTCTATGATGAATATTATTATGTATATCTAAAATGTACTAATAGAAATAAATATAGGCCAACAATATACATAGAAAATACAGAGGATGAAACTGGGTGGCAACTAATCCTCATTAACTGATTGGAAATTGATAATGACACACCATTTCACTCGGCGCTGTGTAGTTCAGGCTGGCCTTGAACTTGCAGCCTTCCTCTTGCCTCAGCCTCTGGAGCACCCTGCCTCAGCCTACCAAGTACCAGGATTACAGGTATGTGCCACCACATCCAGCACCATTTCACTTCTAGCAGACTTCAAAATTAAAAAGATTGGTGGCACACACTTGTAATCCCAGCACTCAGGAGGCTGAGGCAAGAGGATAGCTTCGAGTTCAAGGCCAGCGGCGGCTACAAAGTGAGTTCAAGTTCAGCCTGAATTGCACAGTGAAACTCCGTCTCAAAAAATAAATGAATGAATGAATGAATAAATAAATAAGACGTTTTCAATTCTTCTGGAAAAATACCCAGAAGGGGAATATCTGGGTCCGATGGGACCTCTAATCCTAGTTTTTTGAGGAATTTCCACAGTGATTTCCACAGTGGTTGCACCAGTCTACACTCCCACCCGCAGTGGAGAAGGGTTCCTTTTCCTCCGTAGCCCCGCCAGCATTTGTTATGGGTTGATTTCTTGATGACAGCCATTTGGGGTGAGATGGGATCCCAGTATTGTTTTAATTTGCAACTCTCGTATGACCAGTGATGCTGAACACTTCTTCATATGTTTATTTGCCATTTGTATTTCTTCATCTGAGAATGTGTATTTATCTCATATGCCCATGTTTGGGTTAGGTCTTTGAATTTTGGGGGCCTTATTTTTAAAAAATTCTTTATATGTTCTAGATAGAAGTCCTTTGAGGGACAGTTGGCTAAGACTTTCAAAACATACCACAGTGATATATGTGCACCTATGTTTATAGCAGTGCAATTTGTCATAGCTAAATCTTGGAAACAACCCAAATGCCCATCACTGGAGGAATGGGTGAAAAAGATGTGGTATTTTTATACAATGGAGTATTATTCAGCTATAAAGATAAACTCGAGGCTTTTATAGGTAAATGGATGCAGCTAGAGGCCATACTTCTAAGTGAAATAACTCAGACCTACATGTGTAAACATTGTATTGTCTCCCTAATGTAAGAAACTGAAAGAGTAAACAAAATTCAAAAAGTACAGTAGATATTGTGAAAGGGAAAAAAATGGCTCAAAAGGAAAGAACTGGGATGAGGGAAAGGAGAAAAGAAAGAAGGAAAAAAATACATAGAAACACACACACACAAGGTAGCTGAGATACTTCTAATTTCTATTGGTTTCTATACCACTTATAATTTTTATTGGTTTATTGAAAGGAACAATTAATGCTTAATTTTTTTGACCAACAACTACTTTGAAGATAACAGTATGCAATATAACAACCATTGTTGATTTCCTATCATCTTGTTTTGAAACTGTGTATCATTTTTAATGTTTTTAAAAAATTTTTATTCTCTTTGAAAAAAAAGACTGGTAACACCAAGTGCTGGCAGGGATATAGGGAAATGGGAACAAGGAAGCACTGTTGGTGGCAGTGTAAATGGAAATAGATACTTGATAATCTCCATGAGGTGAACAGTTTGGTCTTTCTGTTGGCCCCACTCATACCCTTGGCTACACAATGAGCACGCAGGGCACAGTGGTTGCCCAGTAAATATTTATTGAATGAAATACTTTTTTTGGTACCGTGTATTCCCCAGCAAGCAAGTAGCTTCGGAGAGAACATGTAGAGAAAAGTTGGGTTGTAAAATGGGAAAATAATTTTTCAGAAAATTTAGTTGACTTATTCTGTCACCAAACAGTAGAATGGTAGGCACTGCTACCAATGATACTCATCTACTTGAGCAATCCAGATGATCAAGCAAACCTGTGACAGGTGTAGCCAATCCAGCTCAGAGCTGGGACTTGTCCATCTATAGCAGGGGTGGCAAACCTTTCAGAGACAAGTGCCAGGACTGCAAATCAAAGCCCAGTTATTTATCGCCAAGTGCCAACACAGCATTAAACCTGAATACTGAGGGCTTAGATTAGGAAAAAATCCAACTCATACAGCAACATCTTTTGTCTTAAAAGAAAAACAATGTGTGTGCTATAGATCACCACTGATCTGTAGGGTTTTTAAGCTCCTCCTTTTTTCCTTTCTTTTCCGTCTTCTTTCCTTCCCTTCTCCCTTCCTGCCTTCCTTCCTTGGTCTTTCTTTCAGGATTACAATATACACAAAATTAAAGAGTTAGCTTTCCAATTAAAGAGATAATTATGACCATTTATATTGTAGGTTTTTTCCCTAGGGCACTAGATCTTTTACATTATAACTGAATATTGTGTGGACTTTGAAGCTCTGGATATATCATTTGTTTAATTTCCATGCTGGCACATATAAAACAATCTTGCAGGTTCCAGGTTAAGACTGGTGAAACTTATTTCCTGCCCAGAACAAACAAGTTTCTGGTGACTGGAGTAAGGTGAGTCTATGACATCTGCCCCCAAACAGGATGAATTTGTCCAGGGCCACCCCAAGGAGCCTGGTTCTCAAAGCAGAACCTAGTGTGAGACATCAGAACTTTCTCTGGAATGCCTGAAATTTCACTACCCGCCAAACCAATACCTCTCACTTTTCAGTCTTTGAAGGCTCTGAGAACCTGACAAACAGGTTTAGATTATGTTCACAGTAAGGTACACACACACACACACACACACACATACACTGAATCCCATATGCTCATAGAGTCACTGAAATAACTGTCTTGTAAGGCATGACCCCGATTTAACTGTGAGCTCTTGTGGCAAAGGGACTGAGTTTTCTAAGCGTTGTATTTCTCGTGCCAGCCAGTGGCTTTGACAAACCAGCGGTAAAGCAAGTACTGATGAAGGAATGAATGAATGTATGGTTGAATTCAATTTACATATTTGCTCTCTGGCTAATGTTAGTGACTAAAAATGCTGGGAGATGTTAAATAACAGCCTAAGATTCAGCCCATATTTGTCATTGTCCTCAGGAGAAAGCAAACCTGGCTTGAGACCAGTGTGCTGCGACCTGCTCAAGATGAGCTCCTTGGGAGGGATGGCTTCGAGTGCAGGGCTCTCCCAAAGGTGGAGCCCGATGGGAAGTGTACACGAAGCCAGGCTGCTCATTGGTTCCTGTTGATAGGTTATGTACTTCTGCAGAGCATGGGATGTAAGTGCCAATGTGTCCCTCTGTAAGAATACAGAGGAGAGCTGGGCATGTAGCTCAGTGGTAGAGCACTTGTCTCGCAAGTGCAAGGCCCTGGCCTCGATCCCTAGCACTGACAAAAAAAATTAAAAAAGAAAAAGGATAGGCTGAATAAAGAGCTTCATAAGAAAGAAATAAGTGCAAGTATTAGGTTGGGGATTATCAACGTTTTATCTTTAAATAGCTTTTCACCAAAGTGGCAGCCGGCTATGTTTCCAGGAGATGGAAGAAAATTGGGTGGCTCGAAGGTCCCCAGTCCTAAGCCAGATTTGGTTTTTCATGAGAATACTGAAGAAAAAAAGGGCACTTAGAACTTTGCTTGACATCTCGAGGTATCCTCAGGATCGCTAATACCAACCAACTGCAAATATATCTACTGGACTCAGCCATTTGTTCACCAGAAGTAAATACATGGCAGAGCCCCTGGTATGGCAAGAGCACAAAGTCCAGGATACATGAGGAGGAAGGAAACTCAGCTCCTTCTTTAAAGGTGATCAGAGTTTAATCAGGGCCATACAATAGGGGACAGCATGAGGGCACTCAGGGTAGAGAAAGAAGAGAAGGCATGAGCAAAGTCAGGCAGGCTATGCTCCCCGAGACTTCTTCAAAGAGCTTCCTAGGTGTTTCAGACCAAGAAACGGCTCACACAAAAGCACAGAATTTTGGAAGAGAAGTGACAGGGAGGTCCCTCACCTCAGAAGGCCAGTGCCTGGAACACGGAGGTGAGAGGCGAATCTAAATACAGTAGATGCAGAATAACTCTCAGAGGGACTTGTATGCTCGCTCCAGAGTTGTATTTTATCCTGCACAAAAATAGAAGACTTTGCAGAGTAGAGTGACTTAAAGAAAACAAGTAGAAAAATAAAGATAAACCGAAATGAAGAGAAATTGGTGGGCTTCTTCACAAAGATCTATTTGGTGGTAAGGCGCGGGAGGAAATGGAAACCATGCGCTCGTTCCCCAAAGACTTCCATACGGGCATCCCTCAGCAGGCACGGTGGGCCCGGGACCCCCTGCAGATGCCACACGTCTCACCAGCTCCGTGCCTTCTGCACAGGGCGCAGTATTCACACACAAGCCCCACTCCCCGTGTACTTCACGTCAGATCAGTTCCCGATTACTCACAGTGCCTGAAACAACATCAGTGCTGCAGCGACAGTTGCTGTCCTGAGCTGTTTAGGAGATAATAAAACTGCATGTTCAGAAAGGCAGACTTTCCTTGAAGTATTTGTGATCCGTGTGGATGCCGGTGTGGAAGCGTGGCTGTGCTGCTAGGCACTTAGCCCCAAGCAGATGCTAATGAAAGTGGCGGCTGCGGGGGAGAGAACGGGGCGAATGAATGTGGGGCTTGGTGGTGGGGTAAGATGAGGGCAGCAAGCAGAGGACCTGGGCACGGGGGCCAGGCCCGAGAGCACGGAGGCGGAAAAGGAAGGAAACCGCACGTGCCGACCGCTACTGTGCCCCAGCGAATAGGCATCTTCAGCTCCCAAGCGGGTATGTGTGAGTGTGAACGCGTACTTTTGTTGGAATAGCACCGTACTTTCAGAGTAATTTAGGCAGCAGAGTTGTAATACTGAGTCTTTTTACCCAACTCAATCTGTTTTTAAAAAGCATTGTCAAAGACTGAGATTTGGAGAAGGGCAGGTAAGCAAACAACCCACCCTGGAAAACCTCTGTCCCGGCAATCAGGCACCAGGCCCGCTGTACCGGAACCGACAGGCGCGAGCGTCTGCTCCGGAAACCCACTTCACCTGTCTGGGTCGCGTTCCTTACGCTCCTTACCTGTGAAGCACTCACTTCCACGTGGCACTGTCCCCCGTGTGTGAACAGATCGCCTACGGTGAAGAGGTAGGTGGGCTCGCGTCCCCTACACAGACACACTGCTTCGTGCGGCGCTGTGGAGCGTCCGAGGGCCCTAACAGCCGGGAGCCTGAGAGCCTGACCTTGTAGGAAGTCTGATTCCCACGAATGATGCAATTTTAGCAAGCCGCACTGCCAAGCGCCTCCTTACTCACCAACCAGGAGACCCAACAGCTTTGCCCTTTGGGTTAGGAACTGCGTGTGGACAAAGCCTCACGCAAATGTGTGCGGAGAAGCTGGGCAACAGGTAGAGCAAGTTAATGTGTAGAGAAAGTTAATGTGTACACGGACTGGCAAAAATGAATCGTCGCTAACCTGAGAGACAGCCTGCCGGCCTTGTCCCCCATTAGCCGCAGCAGCAGGAGCAGCGCCTCGCGCTGGCTCCTTCCCGTCTTTGACGGACGTGTTTGCTCTCACGCCCACGCCTTGTGCTTATGAGGTCTGCGGAAACTGCTCCTTGAAGAAAAGGAGAAAAATTAGGTTCCGCAGAAAGACGCCATCCGGCACTCCACGCAACTGTCCGCCGAGCGACCTGTTCTCTGCTGCCCCCTCGTGGCCGAGGGCGTGGCCGCCAGAGGCCGCGGACGGCCCCGCGCTGAGAGCCACAGGCCAAGGCCGAGAGGGGGTGGGTGGGGAGGTGTCAGGAATTTTCGTTTCCTTTTTAAAAAATTCACCTACATATGCTTTGTAGGAGATTTATGACTTCTGGGTGAAAATAAGCACAAAGCAAATAAATAAAATTATTCTCAGAGCACTGGTCACAGTGAATGCTCCCCTGCTTGAGAATATCCTAGGCTGTTAGTGCGAAACGTGAATTTCCCCGACTTCCCGAATGGGAATTGGGAATCTGCATCGATCTAGCAGGGTTTCAGGTGATTCTGGGGCCCTGGCAAGTTCAAGAATCACCACACCCGAAGAGAAGTCGCCCAACATTTTTTTAATCATAGAGATCTAATGTGTGAAAGTTTGCTTATTTTCACTAATAAATCACATAGGTATACGACTCTTCTAGTGTATTATGTTGGCTATAAAAATTCATGAAATAAACATTTTAGGTAGATTCCTAGGCCACAGCTTGGATGACAGGATGAGTATGGCTGGTACTGATTACATGTTATTTAACAAGTCTTTGGGGTGATTCCCGTGGCGCGGTGCGCTTCTGCAGGTTTGCAGCTCCAATGCCGCAGGCCTCGGGGGCGGCGCGGTTGTCCCCAGCAGCTTCGCGGCCGTTTCTAGGGCGTCACTGGGAAGCCTCTTCCTCTTCCCGTTTTTCTCCCAGATCACGGTATTCACGTTTGATGCTTGAAAATGTTGTCATCTTTACTGCCATAGTTTGGATTTTTTTTAGAGTAGGAAAATTTATTGGGGAGAGAAAATGGGGGGCTAGCAATGGAGAACAGGAATAGCTCCTGAGAGACAGGAGGGGTCCCCAATGGGTTGTCTTACTTTGGCTTTTCTTTTCTTTTCTTTTCTTTTTTTTTTTAAATTTTGAGACAGGTTGCTAAGTTGCACAGGCTGGGCCTGAACTTATGATGCTCCCGCCTCAGCCTCCCAGAGTGGCGGGATCACACGTGTCCCCGAAAGGTCCCTGTGTTAAAGGTTTGGTTGCTAGTGTGGCACCATCAGAAAGCGGTGGAGATTTGGGGAGCTGGGTCCAGTGCAGGTCACGAGTCATCGAGTGCGTGCTCTGGAAGGGGACTGTGGGACCGCAGCCCTTTCCCCCTCCTCTCTCTCCTTTTGCTCTACTGTGGGCTTGTACCTTTACCGTAGGCGCTGCTCCATCCAAAACAATGGGCCAGTCATGAGCTGCGACCTCCCAAACGGAGCCACATAAGCCTTTTCTGAGTGGATCGTCTCAGGTATTTGTTACAGTGACAGAGAGCTGACTCACACCTGCACCCTCTCCACCCAGCTGGTACTCCTGGTGCAGCTTCTGGGTGGGAGGCTGAAGGCGGGCTGTGCAGGCGTTGGCACAGAGAGCTCAGCAACGCCCAGGTCCCTGAGCAAGCACATACGCGTACGCACACAGACACACACACACACACACACACACGCACACACACGCACGCACACACGCACGTCCTTGTGACTACAGCAAAACCAGCTGCAAAACCATCTTCTACGAAACCTTGTCTAGAAGCATTTTCAAAGTAGTACAGTTAGAAATGATAAAGTTGAGGGAGTCATGCCCTCCTGTCCATTTAATTCCAAATACCACCCTCAATTGTTTCTCTTTCCATTGTCCTAGGCGAGGTAGAAAATAAAGTAACAACACCTCAGGAGGTCTCTGATGCTCTAGGCGCATGTGTGTTGGATCTCCCCGCCTGATCCTCAGTCACCTTCACTCTACCCCAGCCTCATCATGGATTCGTGAATATGTACTACGTATCATAATATAATGAAGATCAGAGTGGATTCTGGGACAAGCATGTATGCTGAGAGCTCTTAAGATGACTCCGAACTCTGTCAGTAATTCCTGTCACTCACACCTTGAGAGTCAAGGGGAGGCACCAGGCTGAGGTACAGAGCTTTTACACTCTGAAAGCCTGACTTATCTGCGTATTGCTGCTGATTCTATGTCCTGTGACCTATGTGCACTGCCGTTACTTTTGGGTCACCCTGGCCCCATTTTTTACCTCTAGGCCATGTCTTTTGTTGACATAGTCTTGCCCGGAGCACAACTTCCTGTCCTCCTCAGTGAACGTAGCTGCTTGCCTCTTGCTACTGGATGTACACTTGCACTGTATCTGCCCATTCCATGGGAACAAAAGCAAGAGTAGATTCTAATCTGACTTTCATTTTTGGTGGTCAAAGGATCTCTAGGAATTGAATGAACTTTCTCCCCAGGGCAAGGAAAAATTACGCATCTGACCATAGATACCACTTTGGAAGACCAAAACCTCCTGAAGTTCTCAGAGTCTGGACTCAGGGCCAATGGCACTGACACTCTTAGGGAACATTCTAGAAATACTCACCTCTAAGCCCACACAACAGAAACTTTGGGGTGGGAACCAGTGCTGTTTTAGCAAGTCAGCCAGCACTCAAGTTTGAGGACATTTCAGAGCAGTTTGAAAGCCTGCCTGCGAAAGAGTTAAACAAGCAATCTTCATTTTGAGATAGGTACTCCCTATGCCACTAAGGTGCCCAGGCTGGGCTTGAACTTGTAATCCTCCTGCCTCAGCCTCCCACAGCACTGGGATTACGGGTGTGCACCATTCCTGGCTGGTTTTTCTTTCAGAGGGAGAAGCAAGCAGACCTTGGTGGGAATGGGAAGTTGGAAAAGCAAGAGGCATGGTCAGCGTGATGGGGCCTGACACGTAAGGTGCTTCCCTGTGGTCACCCTGCTCCTCTGATTGGCAGGTAAGAGGGAGGCTGCTGCGTGCTCAGGTTTGGCGGTAAGCAGGGTTCAGCGGACTGGAGCAGCAGGGAAGCCTGACTAAAGTTAGGCAAGGCTAGTGTGTCAGTCACTCTCCTTGTTGCTGGGACGAAATACCTGACACCCACAACCTAAAGCAGAGATCTATTTTGGCGCATGTGTTCAGTCCGTGGTTGTCTGGTCGGCAGACGCCAGGCAGGAAGGGCATCAGGGAAAGTTGGGGCAGCCAGGAAGCTGAGAGGGGAAGAGCTGGGAAGGGACACAGAGCCTTTCAGGCCACCCCGTGACCGAGCTCTTCTGACCAGAGCCCCCTAACAACACGTCAGCCACAGATTCATCCACCGATGAGGCCACTACCACGTGCGGTGCCCCGCACTCCAGTCACCTTTCCAGGGCCTCACCCCAGAGCACAAGAGCCTCTCGGGGACATTCTAGAGCTAAGCCATAGCAACTAGCAAGCAGACATTGTGGGCCCTTGGTCGGTTTTGCAGATTGAGCAAAATTTCTCATGTATATTCCTCACCAAGGTTTGGGGTTATCTTTATTTTAATTGCTTGATTCCAAATGCTTGAGAATAGCCTTTTCTTCTTCTTTTGAGTGGAGCAATTTATTTGCATCACTGAAACAGCAGTGATGATCCAGTTAGTGATTTCAGTGAGAACCTGCTATGTGCTAGGGCTCAGACACTGCTGAGGCTGCTCTGCAGCTCGAGGAGTTCTCATCCCCAGGGAAGGAAGGAAATTTCAGGGACCCGATAGGAAGAGGGTAGCTACTCCAACACACTCAGGCTGTCACACAAGGATGGGGCAGGGCTGTCAGTGGTGTAGAGGTTGAAAACCCTGACCCAGATTAAGGAACAACACACGCCCCTGTGCAGGAAAACCCAGGGCCTCCCTGCCCACGTTTGGTGTGGTGGGCTGGGAATGTCAGCTTGGCTCCTCTGAACTGCAGGTCCGCAGATCCTGCCCCCAGCTCCGGTTAGGGGCAGTGCAGAGGGTTCTCCAGCTCTCTGCAGGGCAGCAGAAGGCAGCGGCGTCTCTGAGCACACTCACCTCAGGGGCAGGACTGCAGCCAGGCCCGCCACCATCACCCTCCCCAGGGCCCCCTCAGCATCTGGCTGTGGGGCCAGGCAGTGTGTCTACAGCTGCAGGACACCCACATCTTCGAGGTCAGAAGTGACAAAGACAGAGTTCCCGGCCATCGCCATAGGCGCCAGCCCATGTTTGCAGGTTCAAGTTGCTCTTGCTTTTCTCTTAGCCAAGTGTGACTGCCCGGCTGCCCGCCCTCTGATTTCAGTCGCCAGCTTGAGACCTGAAGAGGACGGCTTTACCGGCCCGCCTCACGGGCTGCCACAGTCAGCCAGTTCCAAGCCAGATCCCGCAGTGAACGTACGTGTGTGCTCACCGGCGGCTCGATAGCCCGCTGAGCTCTGGCCGGTACACCGGCTTAGAGTCAGGTCAGCCCTTGAAGGCTCCTACCACAAGACCAAGTAACTTCTCAGAAGAGCAAGTATCCCTCCCTGGGACCATCTCCGTGCTCCTGTCCCACCAATTGTCTTAAGTGCTAGACCTATTCTCTTGTTGTTGTTGTTTTCTCTCCCTCCCTCCCTCCCTTTCCTCTTTCCCTTCCACCTTCCCTCCCTCCTCCCTCCCTGACAGCCTTCTTCCTGGCGTGTGTGTCCTGTCCCCCCTTTTGGATGATTAGCCCCATAGACTACTGCGTCCTCGAATGTGCTCTCCTGAGTCTCAGGGCTTGTGTGCCAAGGCAGTTATTCCGTGGCTCCATGACTAACTGGATTTTGCTTTGTTTTGTGAGCACAAGCCAGAGTGTTCACTCAGCTGTGCTGCCAGGGTTTGTCGATTGAAGAACGGTGATATCTGTCTTGGGTTGCCCTATTTGACCATTTGTCTTTCACTCTGACTGGGCGCCCTCCAGGGCGCTGGTGTCCTCCTGCAGCTGCTCCGAGCAGAGCTGCCCTCAGCTCCTAGGCAGACACTGGGTTCGAGCAGCGGGAGGAAGAGCCGTGTCGTCCATATTTGCTTTGTTGAGCACTGCAGTACAGCATCTGGTCTGTAACTGTGTGCCTGACGTGTTTGGGTTAGATGTGAATGCGTTTCTTACCTTTCCCTTGGTCACCATGAATAGCTTGGGTCGACCAGCCTATTATATATACATAGCTCTAGAATATTATCAGGTAATAATTTAGATTTTACTTTTTCTTCCCTTCCCCATTCCGGCACCAACGGGCCCTGAGCTCACAGGCCCTGCAGAATTCCGAGGCAGAGTGGAAAAGCCCAGGAAGGACCTAAGTTAGGCTGCGAGGGCATCCAGTTAAGTGTTGGGAGCCACTGAAGCTGGAAAATAATTACAGGTGCAGGACGAAGCCAGCCTGAGAAGCCGGGAGCTCCCTGGAGTAAATAAGCCCCTCGGAGTAAACAAGCCTTTGTGACTTGTTAACTGGTTGCTGGGCAGTGAGAGAGACATTAACCAGCCTCTCCGGGTATAAATAAACGCTCTACTGCTGTTGGGCAGTCCCCTTGCTCATCAGGCGAGAGGTAACTCCACCTGACCCCAGCTCTTGTGTCTTGTCCTTATTTTTCTCATACCCACTGCCATTTCTCTCTGGGGTGCAACGAGAGACCAACGAGGTTCATCACAGTCAGGAGCAGAACGTAGCTGCAGCAAACCCCATGTCGCACGGACCCCCGGCCCTGTGTGAGGAGCGCACGCCAGCCCCGGCCTCCGTGCGGCACGGGGGCAGACTTCCCACTCGTTTTGTTTGCTCAGCTTGGAAGTCTTCTGGGAGTTATTTCAGAGCCAAGGGCACCACCTCAGGCAGAGAGGGGCTCGGGGCCTCGGATCACAGAGCGGATGACTGGCTGCGACAGGATGTGTCAGGCACTTGGGAACAGAGCTGAATTAGAGTTGAACTGGATTCTGGCCTTGCCTCAAGCTACACTTGTAGCCCAAAGTGCGGTGAAATCGATTGTGCACTCACTAAGCACACAGAGTTGGCCGTTCCCACGAGAGAGGTTTTGGAGAGTCTGCACAAACCTCAGTGTGTGTGTGTGTGTGTGTCTGTATTCATAGTTCACCACCAAGATCTTAAAGGTCTCTCTTCCTTCTGCCTGTTAAATTTCAGGTCCCGGATGTGATCTCTTAGCTCACAGAGCTCTTATCTTAGTATTACAATGAGAATAAAATCATAGTGCACAACTCTTTGTGTCCTCCCTGTCTACCCAATCAGTGGCAAGCACACAGTAGGTGATCATTAATGCTTTATTGATGACTATGCGTAACTCAGCTTTTAGCGTGCAGCCTACCAGCTTGACACAAAATTCCCTCCAAGACCCTCCTCATTGCTCATTGGGTCAAGTTCACAATGCCAGAAGTCTGTTTCATTCTTGAGTAACTTCAGAATTTCCCGCATGATTGTCTTGTAACAGTTCTTTACAGACGAGGGATCTAAGACTTGGAAAATTACTTTCCCAGGACCCTTAAGCTGGAGTTCAGTTTGAACCCAAATCAATCCAATGGGTTTGACTTCATTTTAATTTCTTACACATAAAACATAGAATTAATATTACTTATTATCTTAATCCTGGAAAATAGGCTGCAAAAATATTATCCAAATCAACTTTTTAGAACCATTTTTTGTTTGATCACAGAAAGCACTTGGAAAAAGACTGCAAAGCATTATCCCTTCAATCTTTCACTCTTCAGTCTCCCTCAGGGACACACAACCTTTAGTACACTACCTCTGAGTTCAAGACATTTAATAAATGTGAGGGAATACTAGCAAAAGGCTGCTTGGAAGTGGTAACTTAAATTAGCAAAAAAGGCATCACATAAAAATCATTTATGGTACATTAGTTGTTCTTTTCCTGCAAATCTGAAAAAATGAGTTTCTCATTTTCAATACATTTTCCTCCTTTGACTTAAGAAAAGCTTCCAACGATATAAACATCTTTATATACAAAGAAGCAGTATGGCTGGATGTGTAACTCCACACATTTGACACTTTTAAGGAAAAAAAATTGTGGAAAATCGACTTTGAACCTGTTCTTAAATTCTAGATAGGAGCTAATTTGAGAAACTTATAAATCAAACATGTAATCTACTTTTTATTTGAAAATATTAAAATTCTAACTTGGGCAAAGCTGGCTGTGAGGAGAAAGGAGAGCTTTGCCCTCCCTGAGTTTTCCCAGTGGGGACCAGATGGGAATTGACAATCTGAGCGGGGAACTGGGTCTAATGCGTCTTCCCACACGGTGAAGAACTAGAGCTGCTCACTGTAGAGGTTTAAACTGCTCCTTCGCCCTAGGGATCAGAAAAAAACAGGAAATGAATTATGATGTCGGTTCTTTCATTCTTTCTTCTCCCCTCTGTCTTTCCCTCCGCATGACCCCTCTGCTCCTGTTACTCCTGCCCCTTGCTGGCCACCTACTGAAAGCTGTCTGTGCTCTCCTGACTTTGTCTCAGAACTTCAACCTGTCCTTAAGTCTTTAGGTTATAAGAATGGGAATTTCATTTTATTTCGCATTACCTATTACTAAACATAATTTTGGTTAGGCCCACAGACAGGAGTGTGGTGCTGAAAGTCACAACAAATACAATATGTAGAGGAGCCAGTATTTGACCCCAGAAGCCAGTGACTACTCCTTTCCTTGAAGCTATGCTGCCTTCCTGATTTTCATACTAATAATCAGCAGCATTTACTGAGACTTGTAAGCATTGAAGTGGGTACAGTTATCGCCTACTCAGCACCTGTAGGGGCTGAACATTAATTCCAGTTTACTGCTGACTTGTCTAGGACCGCACGGCTGCCCATCCCACCAGGCCACCGGCTTGTATTTTCAGGCTCAGGGTGGTCTTGCTAAATCCCTTCTGCCTGAATGGATGAAAACTGACCTGCACACCTTCTCTGTACGTTAGGTAAGGGGCAGCTCTACTTGGGTAACTGACACCTCGAAGAGTTATTCAGCTTTCTTGGTCACTTGACAGGTGAGTTTAGGGCTTGGCTTGGAGCCATGGTCTTCCCCCATACCCTCCTGGGGGAGGAATGCTGACACTTGGGTGAGAGGCCAACGGCCTGCATAAAAGGAGTCCTCCTCAGAGAGAGGGTGCTAGTTGTGAGCAAACACTGATAAAGTGTGGATACAGGTGAAAGTATCTAGCTGTGCAATGTACTGTCCCTTCAATTTTTATGTAGATTTGAAGTTTTCAAAATAAAAAGTTAGGGTGGGTGAAGGGAGTGAGAAGGAGGAGGAGGAGAAGAAGAAGAGAAGATGATAAAGAAGAAGAAAAGGAGGAGGGAGAAGAGGGAGGAGGAAGAGAAGGGGAGTTTTGGTGGCGAATGTTCACCATCTGTCATTCTCTGGCGCCCCTGTGCAGTCTTTCAACTATAGTGGGTCAGTCCTTAGAGTCCCCAGATACATGGTTTGAAGAGCAGAAGCTCACTTGAGCATCAGCACACTTATATGTGGGAGCATTTTAACACTGACAGATAATCCTTAGATTTAGTAAATTATCACATCTATTTAGAAGGTAATTTTGTTTTCAATCAATCTTGTAAAGAAAAATTTACCACCCAGCTAAAATATATGGCTCTGTTTAGCTGATTTAGCAAACATTAATTCATTCTGAAAGAATTACAAGATTTAAAGCACAATATTCTTTTCCGGGGCTGGGGATTTAACTCAGCAGCACAGCACCTGCCTGGCAAGCCCAAGGCCGTGAGTTCGATTCCCGGTATCGGAAAACAAAAACAAAAACAAACAAAATTCTTTTCTTTGTAGTACTGGGAATTGAACTCAAAGCCTCACATATGCTAGGCAAGTATTCTACTACTGAGCTATGTTCTCAGCTCTAAATATTCAATAGTCTTAGTTGCATCATAAAAATAATTTTGCTAGTTAGTAACTAGTAATATCTCCCCACCTTAGATTATTTTTAAAGATCAAAAAAATTTAAAATAGGGTTGAAAATTTATAAAACAAAAATTTAACCGGCAGTGAAATTTATTTGTAGTATATACATTTTATTGTTGATTTGGGAAACTAATTTATATTTGTATATTTAAAAGCAATGTATGGTCACTAAAATGTTTTTGAATATTATAGTCTAAAGGGAAGAAAAGTCTTCATACGCAGAAACAACTATCATTTAACATTTGACTGGATTTCCATTAGTTTTTCTTTTCTCTATTCATAGTGTTTTGTTTTTTCTTATTTTTGTAATTTTATGTTGCATATATTTACTACTCTTTTCAAATAACATTACCTCATGAACATTTTCAAAACAACTGTAAGCTGGAGAAAATATTCTTCCAAGATATGGAGAAAAAAACGATGAAGACATTCTAGGACAGTGGTGGCGAACCTATGGCACACGTGCTGCAGCCTGCTGCTTATTATCATTGCAAGCTCTCAAAGGTTCACCATCACTGCTCTAGGATGATACATAACAAGTCCGATAGATAGGAGTGGAAAGATGGGAACTAGGTGGGTAGAACGCAAAGGGAGGGAGGGACACTTTCCAACTGAATATCTTTATATATTTCTGTGAGTGTATACACACAGTTTGAGCTCTCTCTATATACATATAATGCTTAAAAGATATAAAAAATTATTTGAATCATTTAAAGTACTGGCATAAGTAGAGAGACCTTTATGTACATAAATCTCCTGTTAGGGAACAGACAAATTTCACTTACTTTTTTCTTATTTGTGCTTTTTAATAAGTTTATGGATATGTGAATAATTCCTTATATAATTTGGTCATTTGTTGAAATACTCAAACCATCTTACTGCCTCCATTTATTTTTATTTTGTATATTTTTATGCTCATATTTTGGGATGATATTTAAAGACTAAGTCTTGAGTGACTTCCTATTTTTCTGCTCTGTAAGAACCATTTCTCTTTTTTTGTGTCTGACATAGTAAAGCATAGGTTTTGCCTTGCTATGTATTATTCACCTGAGGACAGCCAGCCACTCAGGCCAGACCAGAATGTGCTACTCCTGGCAATGCGCCCATATGGCAAATGCGCACTTCCTGTGGGTCTTCACATAAATACCAATGCGGGCGAAGTCTTTTGTCTCCAGGACTAAGCCAGCTGGATACCCGGCAGGCAGCCGTGGTCAGTGTGAGCCTGGGCGTGTGACACGCACAGTAATGCAGCGTCCCTGTTCCCTGAGCTGACCAGCAGGCCGACTGTGGGCTCCGGCTGGTTGGGTGTTCTGCAGGTGGCCACACTCATCACCCTGCATCCGTGCGCACCCATGGGGCCTGACGTGACCTCCCTGATGACGGGAAGAAGTGACAGAGACCAGACTTACCCCGCAGCAGCCACAGCACTGGCAGTCTCCACAGAATGTGCCCATGAGGCCATTGATCGCCTGGATGGCACACAGAACCATCTGGATCCCTCCTATGACCAGCAGGATGGAGAAGAGGGTCAAATTCCAGGGAACCACATCGGTGGGCCCTTCGCACTTGTTCCACAAGGCCTGGTCATTGAGGTAATCCCTGTAGGTAGGGGGGGAAAAGGAGACATTTGTAAAAATTAGGCAAGTCCTTAAACTAGAAGATCACGATTACCATTCTTGTGAAATATTTTCTATCCAAAACAAGTTCTGTGGGAAAATACCCTATCATGAAATGAGAAAACAAAACCTAACTTTTACTGAGTACATTTTATGTGCCAGACCGTATTTTAGACACTTTCTACATATTCACTCTTTTTTTTTTTTTTTTTTTTTTTGTCTTTTTGAGACAGGGTTTTGCTATGCAGTGCAGGCTGGCCTTGAACTCACTTTGTAGCCCAGACTGACCTCTAATTTGCAGTGATCCTCCTGCCTCAGCTTCCTGAGTTCTAGGATTACAGACATGAGGTACCACTCCTGGCCACTCATTTATCTTTTATAGAAACTTATGTTTTCTCCTTCTATTCCACAGGTCAGAAAATTGAGGCACAGAGAGTTTAAATGAGTTGCTCCAAGTCACACAGCTACTAAGTGGCAGAGACCAGGGTTTGTGAGCTAAGAAGATATATAAATTCACCATCTATGAGTGGGTAGCAAAATGAAGATACATAAGGTTAGAACTGCACAAATATTCACAGTCTTTTCCTAGCTATTGTCATTTGAGATGATGTCTACTTTTGGCAAATTATTTGCCAAGTTTAGTGACCCGCTGAAGCTAGGTAAGATAACTAAAGGCTTGCTTTTAACAAAATTATGAATTTGACATAACTGTATTTTTGTTTACAGGTTGCAATCCACACAAAAGAAGATTTAATTAATTTTCCTTGTAAGAAAAAAAATCTACTGTCTTAGTACATATATTTTCTACCAACTTTGAATTAGTGAAAACTGAACAGCACTTTATATTTTATTATGTATATGATGTATACATAACATGAGTTCACTGCAGTATAAAGAACACTGTACCTTGAAGGAGAAATGTGAAGTATGCTGCCCTGAGGGAAGATGGGAGTGAGGTGGGTAGGATCTTGTGGGTTGTTATGATTTTTGCTTACATTTTTAAAATCACACAGTGGTCTTCCCTCTTTCTCTACATGTCTCCTATTTCCCAGGCCTCAGTGGGAGACTACTACTGAATTAATGTTCATTTATTGCTTTTAGATCTTTATTATAACCTCCATTTCTTCTTCTTCTTCTTCTTGTGTGCACCAGTACAATATTTATTTAAAGACATTCTGAATTAACATTTTTTCTCTTTTTTTTTGGTACCAGGAATCGAACTCAGTACCTCAGTACCTCAGTGCTTGCCAGGCAGGAGCTTATGCCACTGAGCTATATCCCCGGCCCTGAATTAACATTTTGGAACTCATTCAAAATGATGGGCGATGCCTTGAAGTTGAACAGACTATAAAGAAATAAAGGAAATAAAGGAAGGCAGGAGCATCTCGCTCTTCAGAAGTGCCACACTGTTACGGCATTGCTTCTCCTTTGAATAAATGCACAGGTTCCAGCAGCTTGCTCACCGTGTGACCTTGTATGTCGTGTACGTGGCAATGACATCGTCTGTCCCATGTGGGGAGGTTACCTGAGCTAATATCGACAAAGTGCTGAGAACAGTGCCTAGCATATAAAAGTGCTCAGTAAGTGCATACTTGTCATTATTTTATGTAATAGATGACAGTCTGGTCTAATTGAAAGAGTATGGTCCTTTGGATTCAGATGAAATTGGGTTTTGACCCAAGGTTTTTTTTTTTTTTTTTTTTTTTTTTTTTTTTGGTTTTTCTCCGGTACCGGGAACCGAACTCACGACCTTGCACTTGCCAGGCAAGCGCTTTTACCGCTGAGCTAAATCCCCAGCCCCGATCCAAGGATTTCTCTTACCAGCAACGTATTCTTCATACAGGTTACTTACCCTCCCTGAGCATCAGTTTCGTCACTTATAAAATGGGCTACCTACCTCACAGTTGTGACGGTTCACCGAGATGGTATACACGTCAGGTATTTTTGCTTAAGATTGTTATTTTTAGTAATTTTTATTTTACCTTACTCATCTTTGTTCTGCATTTTACATGTAGTCCTCCCTATCTTCACAATTTTAAGCTCCGTGATTGGAAAAGATTATAAAGATACAATATAATATTTTCCAGACGCATTATATAATCAAAAGATTCTAAAATGACGCGATTGGCAATTGCTCCTCCGGAAAGTTTGTACGGTGGTAGGGGCAACAGCGCCGACTGGTGGTGAGATTGCGAGCCGCTCACGGGTGTGCGGCATTTAGAAACAAAGATTGAATTTGGGGGCCTGGTAAACGCCTGTCACTTCCATTTCTGTGTCTGCCTCACTCCTGACAAACTGCCTCTGTTAGCTGCCATCGGGATTTTCTTTTCTGCTCCTGACTCTCAGGTTCTGTGAGGCAGAGCTTTCTGTTACCCTGCCTCACAGATGAAGAACTCAAGAGATGAATGCATTAGCGAAGATCTCACCAAGGGTATGTGGCAGAGGCATGACTGCACCCTAAGCTAGCCAAGGTCAGTACTGGTTCCTAACATTTGTAAAGTGTTTCCTGCTTCGTGGCAGCAGGGGACACGGGGTGCAACCCAGTCTCCGCCTAATGTGGCCAGGATCACAAGCAGCTTATGGAGTTCCTCGCTAATTAGTAATCATGGCGTGCAAATGCATATGGTCTAAAGAGAGGGTGCAGGTGCAACACTGATTTATATTTATTATGTGTTTCAGTTTCACACACGCTGAAGTGAAAGCGCTCCTCGCCACTCAGCGCTGGCCCTGGGGCGCAGGCCGGTCGTGCCCACTCGGGGAGGCATCTTGCTTGGCTCTTCCTCAGGCTTTCCTGCCCCCGTCTATCCCCGTTGGCCTCTACAAACTGCTTCCCTTCCAGCAGCCTAAGGTCACGGCAGGATGGCAATTGTCTCAGAAAGGAAAAGTTCGGGCGGGAGAAGGTTCTCCTTCAAAGGAAGCCAAGAAAGTGTCCCGGCTTCCTGCTTCCTCCTAGGATGTTTCTCAGTATGGTTTGCATGGCAGATGCGTTAGCTCTGTCTTCTCCTTTACTGTTCTTGCTGTGCACAGGGAGGATCTGTCCAGGTTGTCACACTAAACAACCGGGTGCTCCCGGTGCAGCGGCCAGGTTGTCCTTTGTTTGTGTTTGAAAGGAGCTCCAGCACAAAGAGGGGAGCGATCATTAAAAAACAAACTCCCTTTGGCTACTTACTAACTGAGGGTTCCTCACCAAGTAGCCCTTTGAACTTTACTTTTCTATTCAAGGGACAGGAATTCCTCTCAACTTATTAGGAAGATTAAGTGAGATACGGCTTGTAAAAACACTTAGCCCTTGACTGTTGGGAGGACAAAGGAGCTGGAGGAGGAAGAGGACAAGCAGAGGGTGGAGAAAATGGAGGAGAAAGAGAAGGCAGAGAAGCACAGAAAGAAGTCGAAGGGAAAAGAGGAGTGAGGAGAGAGAGGAAGCGGAAGACCAAGGACGAGAAGGAGAAGCTGCCGTCGGGACAAGGAGAGACACCTGTCTGGAGTCTCGGTGTCTGGGCTCATGCGAGCGTCTGGTCCTGTCTGCTCCCTGGACAGATGTGATGTGTGTCAGGTCTGAAGCTACAACAGCTACTCCGATGTTTGTGTGCTGGGGTCAGAGTGGTAAGAGAAGTTCCCAGGGTGGCGGAGGAAAGGCCAGGTAGAGGCCTGTGAGCTTTGCTGGAGGGAACCGGCAGAAAGCACTCAGTGGGAGTCAGGGTTAGTTCAGGCTGCGGGGAGGCTGGGAGCCAGCGGTGGGGAGCAGGCGGGAGGGGAATGTGGCTCTGGCACAGAGAGGCTGCAGGCGGGCAGGAGTCAGCAGCTTGAGAGGACAGTGTTCGGGCAAAGGAGCAAGTGGGAGCTGCGCCCCGCCCTCCCCCGGGGGTCTTCCCATGAGCAGGGCACAGTTCACGCCTTGCACAAGGGGGCCTCACGTCTGAAGTGGGATTAAATTCTGAAGTCAGGGCATGGGGCGAGAAAGACCAAGAACAGTCAGAGTCAGGCTGCAGTACCCCGCAGGTTGCTCGCAAAGTATGAAATGTGGTTTTGCATTACGTCTGCATAGTAACTTCCAGTTGCTTGAAGCTATGGTACAGATGTCTAGGTATTCAAATCTCCTTCAGGTAATTATCACAGCGTTACAGGAACAAGATGGGGGACTCTGAAATATTCTGCTAGTCTCCAAGTTTCACTTATTCTGTTCTTACTAAGAAACCATCACCTGGCAGCTGCTAAAGGACGTGTTCATCGCTTGGTGAGCAGGTGGGCAGGCTCCTGACCTTGGGCACTGCTCTGCCCACCCTCTCCTGAGCAGGGCCAGGTGTGGGAGGGCAGGGGTTGGTGCTCTGTGAGAACCACCGAGACCCTGCACTGCCATGAGGTGGTTCTTGGCACGGCCCGTGTCCTCTCTCCCTCCTCGTATTAAACACAGCCTGACTCTCACTGACTTAAGCTCACCTGGGGTGGTATCACTCACAGAACATAAAACATAGGAAGATGGGACTGACGCTGTGCTGATGCTATGGGTGGAAATAACACAGAAGTCCATGAAGAAAGACGCCATCCGGAGCCCCACAGACACCTCTGGGGGTGGGTGAGTGGGGGGAACTCGGTGGAGGCCGCCTTCTGGTGTCTGAGTCCTACGCTCCAGGAAGCCGGCCTCATGGGGTACAGCCCCAGCTGTGCCCACAGGACAAGGGGCCTCCCACAGCAAGCTAAACACACCTGGGGGCCCCTGCGTGCACCAGGAGGATGTTGGAGGCCTTATCCTGCTTAGCTCTGAGAACAGGCTGGGATTTCGGGTGGGAGGCCTGTGAACACAGCGGGATCTGCATCACAGCAGGCCTAGCACCAGCCACCTCCTTCTGAACCCTGTTTCCCAACATTCTTTCGGATCTCACTGTGAGTCACACAAAGGGGTTCAAGTTTGCACCATCGGCCCTCTGCTCCTCAGGTTCCTCATCTGTGAATTCATCCAACCTTGGATTAAAAATTATAAAAAACTGTCTACACTGAACACGTACAGATTTTTCCTTGCCACGATTCTCTAAGCAATGGAGTATAACAGCTATTTACACTGCATTTACATTGCATTGGATGTTATCACAGCTTGGAGGTGATGGAAGGCGTCTGTGCCGGTGATATGCACATGGTGCCATTTCATAGACGCGACTTGAGCATCAGAGTGTGGTATCCACGGGTCCTGGAACCAGCCCCTCATGGTCACTGAGGGACCGCTGCACATGGATTGTTCCAGTGGACCCTTTTACTTTGTGCAGAAAGGCTCAACAGCCCTACTTCCTGAGCCCTTAGGAAGGGTCAGTCCCTGTGTGAGGCAGAGGGCGAAGACGATGAACCAAAGGCAACTGTCCAGGCCATGTCAGAGGACAGAGCTCCAGGTCAGCACCACCTGACAGAGCTTCCATGATGACAGATACGCCCTCAACCTACGCTACGAGAGCAGTTGCTACAAGCCTCATGCGGCTCCTGAGTACTTGAAAGGCTGCTAGTGTGACTGAGGAATTCAAAGTTTAACTTTATTTCATTTCAGTTAAGTTTAAGTAGCCACAGATGCCCACCGGCTACCGCGCTGCCGTTGTGGGCAGAAGGACGTTCACACGAAAATGCGAAGACCTGAGGTCAGAAGCCTGAGCTTGTCCTCTCTGGCCCCGACTGCGTGATTCTGCGCAAGTTAAACTTGCTAAACTTCCCTTGGCACAGAGGACTTACCCCTTAGGGTTGTTATGGAGATTAAATTTTATAAATTTTTGAGGAAAAAAATTATTTACAACCTATAAAGTACCATGAAAATATGAAAAGTTATTTTAATGAGTTCTGTTGGCATTAACCAGCTGAAGAACTGGGAGCATTTCAATGTCTTTTTCTGTATATTTTCCCCTTAACAGATTGTTTAATTATACAGGAAGTATTGGCATCAACCTGCTGAAGAACTGGTAGCATTTCAATGTCTTTTTCTGTATATTTGCCCCTTAACAGATTGTTTAATTGTGCAGGAAGTTTTGGTGTTAGTGAAAGCCTTCCAGCCCAGTTAGTGAGTAACCATTTTCGTTTTCTGTTATAGGATCTCTAATGGAGGATGCTAATCTATGAATTAACATTATTGGTTACCTCATGCTGCTGCTAATAAATATTTGGATGCAAGTGAGATGGCACAGTCTCCTCCTCCCCTCAGGCTAACTGAAGTGCCCTCTCTGTTATTTCTCCTGCTGACTGTCAGCAGGCAACGAGAGAGGCTGGGGCTGCAGTGTGGCTCGATGGCAAAGCGCTTGCCTAGCACTGCAAGGCCCTGGGTTCAGTCCCCGATGCCACAAAAAGAAAAAGAAAGAGAGAGAAATTAGGGATGAATTCTGCATGGCTTCTCTCCACTCCACAGCACCAGCTCTGCCTCAGAGGAGCAACACGCTGGAGACACGTGACATCGTGTGCATCTTGCCTTGGTCCGTTACTTGCCCATGCCCCTAGTAGGGACCCACGGCCTTGCAGGGGCAGCCTTACCCGCTGTTGAAGGGGTAGCCCCACGTGCCATTGCCCAAGAGACATTTCGGACCCTTGTTGATGGAGACGGCTGAGATGACAAAGGAGTATCCAGCACCCACGAATCCAATCGCAGCAAATATAATGGAAGTGAACATCTGGAAGAGAAGAGAGACAGCCACGTTCTGAGGTGGTCTAGAGGTTACAACAAACCCACCCAGGCCGCTCCTGGCCATGGTGACAGCAGGAATCTGCGGGGTAGGAGCCAGTCTTTGTGGTATGTGGCAGACCTACCTGTGAGCTCTTTTAGAATGAATTTTTGTGTCTCAGATCTCTTTCACTCCACCCTTATATGCTTTCACCTACTCATTGATGACTGAGGTTGGATTATCATTAAACACATTTTTAAAAAAACTCAGTTAAGGTTAAATCTCCTTCACAGCACTAAAATGCAAGGCCATTCTCTTATAGGATAAAGCATCTACAATTAGTAGTAACTTAAAAAGATTTCTGGCCCAGTTATCCACTGGGCTAAGTCACTGTGGTTTCTTATATAGCAGGCAGATTCTGCTTATGCTTACGAGGAAGACAAAAAGTCTAGCAGTCTCCTCCTTGAGGCCCAAAGATTAAATGAGTGCGCCCTTCCATGTGGAAGCAACCTTTAAAATACCAAGATCACCTTGGTGTCTGTCCACTCTCCTCCCCTTGGAAGGTTTTCTCTGCTTTAGATCAGATCCTCCCAACTATTCCTGTTCTTCTACATATTTTTATATATCAAAGATTAATTAGTAAAATGTTGATTAGACTAGCATCTTTGCTTGTTTAATGACAAGAAAAATGGAATTATAGAATGTGAACAGCAGAGGCAATCCTGGAGCCCACTGAGGCTGACACTACTTAGAGATTTAAAAAAATTAGGCCTGGAGATGTTAAGAACATTTGGCATCTTCATTCTGAACTGCGATTAGCGGTAGCATGGAAGCATTTATAATTTTGGAAATGAAGGTAGGAAAATGATTGCTTCTGTCACTTTGGAGATGAAACACAAGGGTTTAAGTGTTAAGAGACTCTTTCTCCAATCTTAGCTGCTTTTCTCTGTGTGATGACTGGGATGAGTGTGTCCTCAGTCACGTGTCACCAACAAAACGGGCATGAAAAAGCCAAATGTGCAAATTAGATGCAGTGACCCAGGTTAAATACCAGCTACTTTTCCCTTCCGTGCATTGCTAATAATTTCACCATGGTGTGTATTTGGGCCTGGAGCTTGGAGGTGGAAAGAACCTGCTTGTGCCTTGGTGCCTGGAATTTATAATAGAGTTCTGCTTTAGCAGATATTCACTTTCATGTCATATAAAATGCATCTGATGCAACTTTCCTGGACTGAGTTCGAGCCTCAGCTGCCTTCTGAAGCCTTGGCTAACTCCCCTGTAGTACCGACCGTGCATGCCTACCACCTCCTGAGTCCTGGCTGGTGCAAACTTCTAGCACAGCACGGTGCCTATAGCACACGATGGACAGCTTCTCACGGCTGTCTTCCTCAGGTGGAGCGTGGGACCCTTGAAGTCAGGATCACTGAGTTATCTGAAGACAGGGTGTTGCTCCACCTCTATCACGGTCTGTGTGATTTCTCTTCTTCCGAGCTTATCAAAGGCACTGAATAATCACTTGTTGGATGTTTTTAATGACTACAATTTCCTCACTCACTTAAAAAGATTTCCCCTTTAATTTCTGTGTCTATGGTATTTTAAGTGCATTCTCCCCATCAAAGGAACTGTCAGTTCAATCTAGATTAGAAGTAAATAACAGATTTGGTCAATTTGTGATATTGGAACAGGCAATCTCTTTTCCAAGGGACATGTCATCAGGGCTGGGTGGGTGGCACATGCCTGTAAGCCCCGCACTTGGGAGAACGAGGCAGGAAAATCCCTACAAGTGCGAGTCCAGCCTGGACTACATAGTGAGTTCAAGGCCAACCTGAACTGCACAGCAAGATCCTGTCTCAAAAACAAAACAAAACAACCACAAACCACAAATCAAAAACCAAACATGTAGTTGAATAATTTGGGTAAATTTCTGAATTACGTAAAGTTTAAAAGGTTTTATTCCTGCTGTACTTTTAAGGATGTTTGTATGCTAGTGGGTGTTAGACTCTAAGAAGGTGGTATACTATGTATACTGGAATATAAGGAAAATTGCTAGCTCTCAAACTGTCCCTCAGAAGTGTGGAACTTGACTTACTGTTGAGTCCTTGTTTCATCTATGAGGCAATAGGATACTTCCTCAAATCCTTCCTTCTTTTCTCCCTCCCTCCATCCTCTGTCCTTCCCTTCCTCCCTCCCATCCTTCCTTTCTTCCTTCCCCTTTTCTTCCCTTCCTTTTGTAGCACTAGGGATAGAACCCAGGGCCTTGTGCATGCTAGGCAAGTGCTCTGAGCACTGAGCTACACTGAGCTACACTCCATTCCTGAATGCTTGCTTTGAAACAAAGTACTTTGTAGAGAAGATATTAGAAAACAGCCAAGTCAATGTTAGATTGCAAAATTGTTTAAAGTTCTATTCTTAGCACATCTTTATGAATTACTGTAGGAAGGTTTGTATCACAACTCCTAGTTCTGAATATTATGGCTAGTAAGTCTTTTACCAAGAAAAATTTAAAATGAATATACTTACTGTTTACAGTTATGAGAATATATATATATTCATATATATATGAAGAATGGTGGTGCGTTGCCTTTATCTTTTGGGAACTGAGATTTATGTCTAAGAGTGAAAATTCCAATGACAGCATTCTACTTGGATATAAAAATGATATGTCCATACTTATTTTTACAAGAAGAGAAGATGTGATATTGGAAGCTCTTCAGGACTCAAAGTGTGTCTTTAGTAGTAGCAAAAATATTGATGTCAATGAAACATGAATACAGTTAAAATAAATGCAATGCAGAAATATAGTTCAAAATCAATATATATAATTATTTTATATAACATAAAAATGTGTATGTCACTGAGTGCTTATGTATTAATGCAAGTGAACAGGTTTTTTGGGAAAAAGTTTTAAGAGAAATTCCTTTTCTTTCTTTCTTTCTTTCTTTCTTTCTTTCTTTCTTTCTTTCTTTCTTTCTTTCTTTCTTTCTTCTTCCTTTTTTTTCAGTGTTGAGGATTAGACTCAGGCCCTCATGAATGCTAAGGGAGCTCTTCACCTCAGAGCTATATACTCAGCCTGGAAAGTTTCTCTGTTGGAAGACAAGAGATGGTTTTATATTTAACTTTTCCTTCTGTTGGAGTACTTATGGCAGTTTGGAGTTTTCCAACTTCATTTCATCCTGTAAGCTTCAGGGCGACTCCCTGCAAGAACATACTTTGTAAACTGTACCTCCAAGTCTTCAGGAGAGCTTACCTAGTTAGCTTTCTGTCTCTGAGCACCTTTGTGCTCAAATTGCTCTTAGAGTGATACAGCTGGCTTAACTCTGGAGAGGGACAGGGTGAGTACAGCAAGAGCAAGAGCAGTACAGCAGGAGCAGTCTTACACTCAGGGCAGTTTCTTTTCACACAATTTTCTTCCCTTTCAAACCACTCAAGGGGCTGAGGGGTCTGTAAACATTTATTCGGTTTGCTTTTTTATTTGTCTGTTGGTTGGTTTTTGAGACAGCCTCTCGCTACGTGGTCCAGGCTGGACTTGAATTCAGCAGTGTGGCCTTGAACTCATGATGACCCCTCTGCTTCAGCCTCGAGTGCTGGAATTACTGATGTACACCGCCACACCTAGCTGTAAACACTTGTTGACACTAATATATTGGTTATCCTCATGTCTCACAGAAAAATGGATTCTATGGGGAAAGGGTCCCTCACATTTTAAGGCAGGCTAAAAGTCCTTGAAAACCAGAATCTTCATTAAACAGATGGTTAAATAACCATAAAATTATGTTTCAATAATAGAGAAAACCTCAAAAAACATCTAATGTTACCATCCCACTTTCCAGCTAATAGAAACAGCTCCACTACATGCTGAATTGAAGAAGGAAAATTACATTTCCAATTTGATCTCTTAGGGGACCTGGGTCCCAGCCCCTTCATCATCACTGTAGTAAACAGAAGGAAGCAGTGGGCAGATGTGGAAGATTCCTTGAGCCAAATCAGGTCAGGATTTACACAACTGCTTGCTGATAGTTGGAGGAGCAGTTTGACCTGTGTCATTCCTGATGTGCGGCTGAAGAAAAGGTTTTCAGAAACAGTTTGGCAGGCACGTGTTCAGTGTTATAAGAAGTAAGTGCAAATGCAAATGACCCTCACTTTAGGCAAACATGAGTACATGGAAAGTTGGTTTAACAGAAAGTAACAACAAGAAGATGAATTTTGCCTTTATCAAGGAGTCAAGAGATGGAGGGAGAAAGGAGGGGGGATAAAAAAGAATTCAGACGTGTTGTGTGTGTATATCAAATCCACACCCTGAGTACGATCATTAGGTACTGTGAGTATGTACCAATGCAACTTAAAAATCCCGTGCTGGAAAAGTCACCATTGTAAACCGTTCCAGGCAGCACCATCCAGGGGAAATATCCTGTTAACCACACATGTAATTTAAAATTTTCTAGTAACTACCATTTTACTTTATTTTATTTTTTGTCTTTTTGAGGCAGGGTTTCACTATGCAGTTCAGGCTGGCCTTGAGCTCACTTATGTAGCCCAGGTCTCACTATGTAGCCCAGGCTGGCCTCGAACTCAGAACAATTCTTCTGCCTCAGCCTCCCAAGTGCTGGGATTATAGGTGTGTGCCACCAGGCCTGGCTGCTACTAACTACCATTTTAAAAAAGTTAAATTAACAATATGTCTTACTTAACATATCCAGCATACCATCATTTTAACACAACTCAGTATAAAGATTGCTGAGATATTAACATGCTTCTTTTCATACTAGTTCTTTGGAAGCTTGCATGTATTTTACTAGTGTAGCAAGTCTCAAATCAGACCAGCCATATGTCAGCTCAATAGCCACATGTGGACAACATAGTGAAAAGTTGGAAAAATTAAATTTTGCGAGTAAAAATGTAAGAAGTTTGGATATGATTTGTACTGAATTCATGACTATGGTTATTGTCAAAAAGGAGGAAATTGTGATGGAGAAAGGAACATGGTAGCCCTCAACTGAATAAATGACTTA